ATAGGTATTAATTCTTCTTGAAATGTTTGCTGGAATTCCCCTGGGAAGCCATCTGACCCTGGACTCTTATTTGTTGGGAGATTTTTGATGACTGCTTCAATTCCTTAGTGGTTATAGGTCTGTTCAGGTTTTCTGTTTTTTCCTGGTTCAGTTTTGGTAGTTGATACATCTCTAGGAATGCATCCATTTCTTCCAGATTATCTAATTTGCTGGCATATAGTTGCTCATAATATGTTCTTATACTTGTTTTTATTTCTTTGGTGTTGGTTCTGATCTCTCCTCTCTCATTCATGACTTTATTTATTTGGGTCATTTCTCTTTTCTTTTTGATAACTCTGGCCAGGGGTTTATCAGTCTTATTAATTCTTTCAAAGAACCAGCTCCTAGTTTCTTTGATCTGTTCTACTGTTCTTTTGGTTTCTATTTCATTGATCTCCACTCTGATCTTTATTATTTCTCTTCTCCTGCTGGGTTTGGGCTTTATTTGCTGTTCTTTCTCCAGCTCCTTTAGGTGTAGGGTTAGGTTGTGTATTTGAGACCTTTCTTGTTTCTTGAGAAAGGCTTGTATTGCTATATACTTTCATCTTAGGACTGCCTTTGCCGCATCCCAAAGGTTTTGAATAGTTTTGTTTTCATTTTCATTGGTTTCCATGAATTTTTTTAATTCTTCTTTAATTTCCTGGTTGACCCATTCATTCTTTAGTAGGATGCTCTTTAGACTCCATGTATTTGAGTTCTTTCTGACTTTCCTCTTGTGACTGAGTTCTAGTTTCAAAGCATTGTGGTCTGAAAATATGCAGGGAATCATCTCATCCTTTTGGTACCAATTGAGACCTGATTTGTGACCTAGGATGTGATCAATTCTGGAGAATGTTCCATGCACTAGAGAAGAATGTGTATTCTGTTGCTTTGGGATGGAATGTTCTGAATATATCTGTGAAGTCCATTTGGTCCAGTGTGTCATTTAAAGTCTTTATTTCCTTGTTGATCTTTTGCTTAGATGATCTGTCCATTTCAGTCAGGGGGGTGTTAAAGTCCCCTCCTATTATTGTCGATGTGTTTCTTTGCTTTTGTTATTAATTGGCTTATATAAGTGGCTGCTCCCATGCTAGGGGCATAGATATTTGCAATTGTTAGATCTTCTTGTTGGATAGACCCTTTAAGTAGGATATAGTGTCCTTCCTCATCTCTTATTATAGTCTTTGGTTTAAAATTTAATTTGTCTGATACAAGGATTGCCACCCCAGCTTTCTTTTGATGTCCATTAGCATGATAAATGGTTTTCCACCCCCTCACTTTCAATCTGGAGGTGTCTTTGGGTCTAAAATGAGTCTCTTGCAGACAACATATCGATGGGTCTTGTTTTTTAATCCAGTCTGATAGCCTGTGTCTTTTGATTGGGGCATTTAGCCCATTTACACTGGGTAACTATTGAAAGATATGAATTTAGTGCCATTGTATTACCTGTAAGCTGACTGTTACTGTATATTTGTCTGTGTTCCTTTCTGGTCTGTGTTACTTTTAGGCTCTCTCTTTGCTTAGAGGACCCCTTTCAATAATTCTTGTAGGGCTGGTTTCGTGTTTGCAATTTCCTTTAGTTTTTGTTTGTCCTGGAAGCTTTTTATCTCTCCTTCTATTTTCAGTGACAGCCTAGCTGGATATAGTATTCTTGGCTGCATATTTTTCTCATTTAGTGCTCTGAATATATCATGCCAGTCCTTTCTGGCCTGCCAGGTCTCTGTGGATGGGTCTGTTGCCAATCTAATGTTTCTACCATTGTAGGTTACAGACCTCTTGTCCCGAGCTGCTTTCAAGATTTTCTCTTTGTCTCTGAGACTTGTAAGTTTTACTATTAGATGTCAGGGTGTTGACCTATTTTTACTGATTTTGAAGGGGCGTTTCTCTGTGCCTCCTGGATTTTGATGCCTGTTTCCTTCCCCAAATTAGGGAAGTTCTCTGCTATAATTTGCTCCAATATACCTTCTGTCCCTCTCTCTCTTTATTCTTCTGGGATCCCAGTAATTCTAATACTGTTTTGTCTTACGGTATCACTTATTTCTCAAATTCTGCCCTCGTGATCTAGTAGTTTTTTATCTCTTTTTCTCAGCTCTTTATTCTCCATCATTTGGTCTTCTATATCAGTAATTCTCTCTTCTGCCTCATTTATCCTAGCAGTTAGAGCCTCCATTTTTTATTGCACCTCATTAATAGCCTTTTTGATTTTGACTTGGTTATTTTTTAGTTCTTTCATTTCTCCAGAAAGGGTTTCTCTAGTATCTTCCATGCTTTTTTCAAGCGCAGCTAGTATCTTTATAATCATCATTCTGAACTCTAGTTCCAACATCTTACTAATGTCTGTATTGATTAGGTCCCTGGCAGTTGGTACTCCCTCTTGTTCTTTTTTTTGAGGTGATTTTTGAATCTTGTCATTTTGTCCAGAGGAGAATAGATGAATGAGAGAACAAAATGCTAATGGGATAACAATGACCCCAGAAAAATATACACTAAACAAAGCAGAAGAGACCTGAAACCAGGGGAAAAGAAAGGGAAAGAAAGAAAAAAAAAAAAGAAAATGATAAAAGAATATGGTCAAATATGATCAGGCTGGTGAATAGATCAGTGCCACACCCTAGATTTTGGACGTATTTTGGTCTGTTAGAAGAAACTGCCTTCCAAAATTTTAAAGAAATAAAAACTTATATATGTACAAAAATAAGGGTAGATACAATGAAGGGATGGAATATGAATATAAAGATGAAAAGTATAAAAGATTTTATAAAAGGAATTGGTAAGATAAGTTGGTTGAAAAAAGAAAGAAGAGAAATTAAAAAAAAAAAGCGAGAGAATGTGATCAGGCAGGATTCTAGAACAGAGCCATACACTAGAGATTTAGGGTATATTTTGGTCTGTTAGAAGAAACTGTATCCCAAAATTTTAAAGAGAGAACAACTTTATACACACACACACACACATATACACCAAAAATAATGTTAACTACTATGAAGGGACAGAATATGACTCTAAAAATGAAAAATAAAAAAGATTTTGAAAAAAGGGATTGATAAGATGTTGGTTGAAAAAGAAAAAGAAAAATCAAAAAAATATGTAGAAAAAGAAGAAAAATTAACTTTGAAAGACTAAAGAATCAGGGGGGAAAAGCCATGAATTCTATGTGCAGTATTCCCCTAAGTGCTGGAGTTCTGCCATTCTCATTGATCGGTAAACTTGGTCTTGGCTGGCCATTCTTGCTGATCTTCTGGGGGAGGGGCCTGTTGCCGTGGTTCTCAAATGTCTTTGCCAGAGGCAGAATTGCCCCACCCTTGCCGGGTCCGGGCTAAGTAATCTGCTTGGGTTGGCTCTCAGGAGCTTTTTACCCTGCAAGCTTTCCATACAGCTTTGGAGGATGAGAGTGAAATGGCAGCTTCCCAATCTTCGCCCGGAGGAGCTGAGAATTCGGGGCCCCACTCCTCAGTGAGCCCCCAGAGAAAAGCAGTCAATCACTCCCGTCTCCTCGGCCTCTGGTCGCACTCTCTGCTCACCTGACCTGTGACTGAGTGTTTCTATCTCTGGCACCCAACTCAGTGTGGAGTCTCCAAACCCAGCAGATCCCTGCGGTGCGCTCCCGCACTGCTCCCCCCGGGGGAGGAAGGGGAGTCTCCCCGGATCTGCCGCTTGTTGGGTCCCTGCTGGAGGAGCAGTGGCCCGACTGGGCTGTGGATCACAGTTTATGGCAACCCCGAGCTGAGAGCCCGTACCTTGGCTCCGTCTCTGCAGCCGGCTTCCCCGCTCCGATCCCTGGGAGCTCTGCTGCACTCAGGCTCCCCCGGTCTTTCTGTGACCCCGAGGGTCCTGAGACCACACTGTCCCGCGAGGGTTCCACCCCCCGCTTAGCCACTGGAGCGACGTCCCTCAGCAGAGCCGAGGTCTAAAAGTTCCAATTTTGGGCTTTGCGGCACAATCACTTGCCAGTAGCAGCTGATGGAGGCCCCCTCCCCTGCCGTCTATTTCCTGAATATCGCCTCGGATTCACTTCTCCGCACGTCCTACCTTCCAGAAGGTGGTCGCTTTTCTGTTCACAGAGTTGTTGCTATTCTTTTCTTCGATCTCCTGTTGAGTTCGTAGGTGTTCAGAATGGTTTGATCCCTATTCAGCTGAATTCCTGGGACCAGACGAAATTTAGGTCTCTGCCTACTCCTCCGCCATCTTGCTCCGCCCCCCATTCATATATATATTTTAATGGACCTAAATTTTTTGATTTTTTTTTAATTTATTGGTTTTTAACTTGCTTTTGAAATTTGAGCCAAGTTTACTACAGTTTTCTCATTCCCAGGTTAAAGAGGGTCCCACTCAGTTTTGATTCATGTCTTTGTATGGCTTAAACTGTTACATTTAGAATGTTGCATCCATTTGGAAATTATTGTTTCATAGTACTTTCTTTTTAAAGATTAAGCTCTTTTGTGCAGGTGCTGTTTTAGGTACTAGAGTTATAACATGACAAGACCAACAGTATCTAGTTTCAGAGCCATGCTCCAGTTCAGGATGACAGACCACCAAGGTAGTTTCAGATAATGGTAAATGCTGGAAAGATGATTTTAGAAAAGATGAAGTAATAGATACGGGTAGATAACAGGTGCCTCTGATAGGGTGATATTTGAACCGATTTCTGAATCATCAGATGAGATTAGCTACACCAAAGCCTGGGGCAGAGCTATGCAGGCCAGCACGATACTTAGTACAGAGATGTCGAGCAGGAATAGACCTTAATACTAAATGCTGGGTATGAGCCAGGCCTAGCACTAACGCACCTGTTCCCCATTACCTCCTGTATTTATGTATTTATGTATTTCTCTCTCACGTATTTCTTACAATGAGCTATTGAGGTTCGTATTGAATATGAGGACACTGAGTTTGGGAGAGTTGAAATCACTGGCCTCTTCTCAGCCTCCAGCTTAGTGGAAGGTGTCACCCTGCACCATGAACTGTTGATTTTACCTCTCCAGGCTTTCATGAGAAGGACAAGAAGCCATACTGCCGGAAGGATTTCCTAGCCATGTTCTCACCCAAGTGTGGCGGCTGCAACCGCCCCGTGTTGGAAAACTACCTTTCAGCCATGGACACTGTCTGGCACCCGGAATGCTTTGTGTGTGGGGTCTGTACACTCCTCTTTTGGACCTCTTTTGGACTGAGGGAAAGTCAAGAGTCTTCCTTTTTGAGGGGCAGAACAGCAACTGGGAAAAGGGTTCACAGCTTGGGGTGAGGGATTGATGCAGGCCTGGTAAAGGAGGCTGGGGGCACTTGCTCATGTCTTTTGCAAGTGGGTAATAACTGGCAGGAATTTCTAGGCTGCAAGTTTTACTTTGCTGTTGTTCTACTTCTTGACATCTGCATTCCTTTTTCTTTCCCTTTGCTCTATCCTGCAGGACTGCTTCAGCAGTTTTTCTTCCGGCTCCTTCTTTGAACTGGACGGACGTCCGTACTGTGAGCTCCATTACCATCAGCGGCGGGGAACACTCTGCCACGGGTGTGGGCAGCCCATCACTGGCCGCTGCATCAGTGCCATGGGCCACAAGTTCCATCCCGAGCACTTCGTCTGTGCTTTCTGCCTGACACAGCTGTCAAAGGGCATCTTCAAGGAGCAGGACGACAAGACCTATTGTCAACCCTGCTTCGTGAAACTCTTCCCCCTGTAATCTCAGCTGAACCCACAGTCTCCACAGATCCCCTACAAAATTTAAACCAGGCGGGGGGGGGGAGTATACTTTGTTGTTACTGCTCTTCAGCTCAGTGGGCATATAGAGAAAGTAAAGGTAATGAACTTGTAGTTGTTACATGGCTAGGCTTGTTTAGGTTTTAGATTTCTAGTCTTATTTTTTTTTTCTTAATCAGGTACTTGGATTTAGATCTGGGTCCCACTACTCGTGCCTCTGCAGATGCATCTTCCACATGCACACATTCATTCCACCGCTGGTTTTCTCAGATTTCTCTGCAGATGCAGATGCATCTTCCACATGCACACATTCATTCCACTGCTGGTTTTCTCAGATTTCTCTGCAGATGCAGATGCATCTTCCACATGCACACATTCATTCCACCGCTGGTTTTCTCAGATTTCTCCCATTTTCACTCCTGCGATGGCCCTCTTCCCTGGGCCTTTTCATACCTCCCTCATTTCCCCGTGACTCACTTTCCCATGACCAGTGCATTGTCCTCGCTGTCAAGAATCCTGATGCCCCCCCCAAAGCTCTCTGCATCTCTCTTCAGTGTACTTCTCTTTTTCAAGAGCAAGTAGATTTTAACTGGACCACTTTGAGTACTGACATCATTGATAAATAAAATGGCTTTCAGTTTTAATGTCTTACTGTCATGTTTGGAGATAAACTGCTTCCTGTGTTATATACTCAGCACTATGTGCAGTTAAATCCATATCGTATCTTTTGTTTACTTCCATACAATAGGCACTTTTTCTTAATCAAAAGAAATTGAAAGGAGGGACTCCTGTTCACCAACTTTTCTCTTGGTTTGGGCCCATAATATTCATTTTGTTTTGTATTTTGACCTGAGATGATTGAATCATCTTAAAAGGTGGCATAGCCTCTTAAAATTGTTTACCCAAAGTGAAAAACCAAATCTCCACTAGACACTTGAAAATTCATATTTGTATGCATTTCTACAAACTCATGCAATTGTGTATATTGAATAAGTTCAGTTTTTCTGTATATCAATTATATCTCAATAAAGCTGTTTTTAAAAAATGAAACATACATCTTCCTCAACTTCACAATTATCTCAAAAGACAAACAAGATGGCTGTTTTATCTCTAAAGAAAGTTGCTATAAAGGATCATTTGATAATTTCCAGTTTGGATTAGGAAATCTAAGCTCCAAAGAAAATCTCCATTTAATTATTTGTTCATCTGCAAAACATCAAAGTATATTTGTAGAAAAGCTTGTCAGTTATTAACAAATCTGACTTTCTCATGTCCTGGCTCAAGTAAGCTTCAGGAGTCCTGCTTCCTCGAAGGATATTGATAAGATCTGTACTATGTCTTTCTTACCATGGTCTTAATTATGTGACTATTCTATTTTTTTAAAGATTTTATTTATTTGACAGAGAGAGACACAGTGAGAGAGGGAACACAAGCAGGGGGAGTGGGAGAGGGAGAAGCAGGCTTCCCGCTGAGCAGGGAGCCCAATGTGGGGCTCGATCCCAGGACCCTGGGATCATGACCTGAGCCGAAGGCAGATGCTTAATGACTGAGCCACCCAGGCGCCCCTATGTGATTATTTAAAAAAAAAAACCCAGAGTTTAAGGTACTGAGGAAAAATCCTTTACCGAGGTTATTTTTAAAAATAGGACCAATGTATATGTATATAATGGAGTATTATGCAACCATCAAAAATGAAATCTTGCCATTTGCAACGATGTGGATGGAACTGGAGGGTGTTATAAATAAGTCAATCAGAGAAAGACAAGTATCATATCTCACTGATATGAGGAATTCTTAATCTCAGGAAACAAACTGAGGGTTGCTGGAGTGGTGGGGGTTGGGAGGGACGGGGTGGCTGGGTGATGGACATTGGGGAGGGTATGTGCTATGGTGAGTGCTGTGAATTGTGTAAGACTGATGAATCACAGACCTGTACCTCTGAAACAAATAATACATTATATGTTAATAAAAAAAATAGGACCGATTTAATGTCTTTAGACTGGTATAGGAACAGGTTCCTTAGAGAATGATTCTTGTTAAACTTGATCACATCTGTCTCCTTCATGGGAATGGATCGTAAGGGGTTTTTGAGAATTACAAGGAAGTGGTAACAGGAACTTCAACATAGCCAAGCTGCATGGGAGTTTTGCGCAGGGAGCCGTCAGGCCTCCTGCCCTGTTTGGTTGAGACCAGACTGAGCAGAGTATTCCTTCTTCTTCCAAACACCGTCCTTACAGTAGCTGCACTCTATGATGTCATGTGCAGGTGCCAGCATGACAGCGTTCATGGCTGTCTTGGCACTTTGACAAAGTTCGCTTGAGGTTGTAGCCCTTAAGGAAGAATGTTCAGGTGCTAACACTTTTCTTTTTTAAGGATTGGCTATTTTGAGATATTGGTAGAATCTATAGATTTAAAAAGCCGGAGAAAAGGCAGTGTTGACCAGGTGCAACTAAGAAGTGAAGACTTTTTCTCCTTACAATAGTGAATGTAAGTGGTAATATTTGCTCAAGAGGAGAGCTGCATTCAGGGCCTTTCAGCAGCAAGGAAACCATTCACAAAAAGTTTTCCTTAAAAAAACAAACAAACAAAAAAACCCAAGAGAAATACTGTTACTCAAACTGATCATCTACCTGTTTACTCTTGGTTCCAAGTAACTTCTAGCTTTGAAAAGATAAAATCTACCTTGAGGGAATGGGGCTTTTCCACCAGTGAGCACTATATATTTGTATATTTGTATCTATATCTATATATTTATATCCACATATATATATTTCTCAAAGATAAATTTCTTAATTCATTTGGCCAGTTATTCTTTGGGATAAATATAGAGTACTCCAAGGTGGAGGCCAACAATTATTTTTCCATACAAGTTCTTCTATGGTGGTAGGATGGCTACCAGCCACATGCTGTCTCTTTCATGATCAGTAGAGAGAGGAAGAGCCCTTTCTCCAGCTTTGCAAGTGAAAGTCCTAAGATTTATCCTCACTTGGAGTAGCTTAGGTCATTACTCACCAGTAATTTTTACTGGGGAAATGGATTATGCAGCTTGGCTTAAGACAAACCAGACCATTCCTAGTGTTAGGGGCCGGGCTAAGTTCCTGAAAGCACAAGGGCTGTGTGGAGGAGATGTGAATACTTTAAAAATCTGGGTACTGGTAAGAAGGGGGTAATGAATCTCAAAATTCAATGACTATATATATTTACAAGCAAAAATATTAAAGCATTTCTGAGTTTCAAGGTAATACAGACGGTAAACAAGCAGATATTTCTAGTGCCCCCAGGGAACATGTCTGAGAACATAACAGAAATCCAAAGCAGAGGACAGCCAGGAATGATGGTGTCATGAAGAAAAGGGGGCGGAAGTATTGGTCTTCGCTGGGACCCTAGAGATACAGCATTAGGAAGCATCAAAAGCAGCTTCAGTCTGTGAATCTGAAGAGCGAGCTCTTCCAGCTGAAATAAAAATGAGAAGGAGTGACAACTTTAGGGGCAAGAGTCTTGGGCACAAGCAGGTTCCTACTAAGGGCAGTGGTGGCAGCCACTCACACATGGGGCTGAAAAAGTGACCACCTGCCCCCTGAATCCTGTGGAGGCTGTGTTATCAGGTAGAACTCACTATGAGGGCAGCACCCAAGTGCTGAGAACCCAGAGCTCAAAGGAGAAATGGAAATCTACTGGGATCCACTGGATGAGAAAGAAAGAAATCTCAGATAAGAGCTGGGGCTTGAGTTGTGCTTGTTACAAATTTATAACTTTGCCAGGAGGCAGCAACATCTCAAATTTATTCTATAAGAAATAAGACAGTTTATGTAAGAGCTTTCTCCTTCCTAGATATAGTAAACACACGGTACCTAAATGAATTTTCTGTGGGAAGATATGTCCTAATTGCATTTAGGTTCACAGATTGTGGATTCTGGACAATTGAACAGACCTGCTGGCATCCTGCTGAGCGATTCTTCTTCCTTCCTATTTTGAATATCACCACATCTCAACAAAGACTGTATTCTAGCAGGAACACTTTGGCCTGGGATGACTACTTCAATTCCACTGAGATGATATCTCAGGTCACAAGTGCTGATGGAAAATCTCCTATAGCTCAGCATGAGCAGACCAAAAAATCAAAGAGGACTTGACTTCCTTTGAACTTGACTTAAAGTATGTCAACTTAACTTAATTAAACCTAAGTTATGTCCTATGACTGGACATAATTGGGGATGTGAAATTGAATGGGAGTGCCACATTGCTCCCATCTCTGGCACAGGTGGATAAGTGGGGCTGTCCATCCCTTAGCTCTTGGGATGGACACACATCTCAGGCCTGACCAGTAAGTGTACTTTGTTCTTCTGGACCAAGGTGATTGGATCAAGAATAGTCCTGTGACCCAAACAAAGCCAACTAGATTTTCCCAGAACCTTTGCTGGGTTTACTGGGAAAGAGGTGTTCTCATTTTGTTGAGATTCTAGCTCTGACCATAATAAAAACACATCACTACTGAGAAATAGCTTTATGGTCACTTACGGGGAGGCTGCCTGAGAGAAAGAAGCCAACACAGAGGAAAGAATTGCTGAATCATGAAGAGGCCATGTTTCAGGGTGCCTGGGTAGCTCAGTTGGTTGAGCGCTGGATCTGGTTTTGGGCTCAGGTCATGATCTCAGGGTTGTAAAATCGAGCCCCGAGTAGGCTCCATGCTCAGTGGGGAATGTGCTTGGGATTCTTTCTCTCTCCCTCTGCCCCTCCCCCCCATTCTCTCTCTTAAATAAATAAATCTTAAAAAAAAAAAAAGGCCATGCCTTCTTTTCTTGAGCCACTCAGTCCTACCATATCAACACCTTAACCCCAGACCAGGAAGTTATGTGAGCAAATAAATCTTTTTTGCTTATACCGATTTGAGTTGGAATACGATCACCAAAGAATTGTGTAAGCAGAACAGGCATATTCACTCCTTTATAGACTTAAAGTCTTGTGAAAGAATGGATAAATGAATGAACAAACCCAACAGTGACACTCTATGAACATTGCATGTCACCTTGCAAAACTATTACACAAACATCTGATCTTCCCAGTGCTTTTTACATGAGAGCACAAAGAAACACTTTGTATTTTAAGTCTGAGGCATCCTGTGGATAGCTGTATTCCTAAAATACAAACTTCTTGATCCTGTCCAAGTTGTTAGTAAAACTGAGTAATGTGTATCAATATCTCTAAGGGGAAGGAGGGAGGAGAGGGTGCTGTCATTCTCTATGCCAAAAATGTGTTGGAAATCATGTTAAATGTGCTGCTTTATGTAGTGCTCATCCATAGAAAACTATTATAGCTTTAATGTTACTGTAATGCTATGTATTTATAAGGAAAATAGTTTTAGAAAAATCTTGATGTTTTACTTGCAAACAAAAAAAGAAAATTTGGAAAATTTTAAGAGAATTGGATTTACCTTTATCCTAAAAGTTGGTACTTGACAAAAATTGCTCAGAAGAGGTTGAGGTTGAGGAAGAGAAAGAAGACATTTATAGTGATTTTGAGAGGCGATCTTAGGATACTTTTCAGTGCTTTGGAGGCTGAGGGTGATGATTTTCGTTAGGTTCAATGACACTTGGAAAATATGACTTTCCCTCTCCAGGTGCTCTTGCATTTTCAGACACGAGTTAAGAAATATTAGAGGCTCAAAAATAAAGTGAGGAGCTTAGGAGAGACATTTTCCTAAAATAATCTAAAATTTGAAAGGCAGTGAAAGTGGGAGGGGAGAAAACTATAGAATATATAAGGGAACTTGTGAGTTAGACAAGATGAAATTTCCAGAGCTTCCAGCAAAGGAAGAAACATGGGTTAGAAGAAGGTGACATACGACACACTCTCTGTGAGGTAAAGAAAGGCAGTGAGGATGGGAGGGGGAGCGTCACGCAGTGAGTGACAGATGACCTTCTACAAACTGCCAGGGGAAGCTATCACTTATTCTGGAGTGTCTCGGAGTTTGGGTTTTCCTAGAGGTGGATCCTGAGGCTAGGATTTGTGCGCAGTAGTCTATTGAGGAGGGGACCTCTGGATGTATCGGT